TAGGATAAGAGACAAAAACACTTTCTATCGTGAATGAAACAAGAATCACTCCTTAGGATAACAGACAAAAACACTTTCTATCGTGAATGAAACAAGAACCACTCCTTAGGATAACAGACAAAAACAGTTTCTATCGTGAATGAAACAAGAATCACTCCTTAGGATAACAGACAAAAACAGTTTCTATCGTGAATGAAACAAGAATCACTCCTTATGATAACAGACAAAAACAGTTTCTATCGTGAATGAAACAAGAACCACTCCTTATGATAACAGACAAAAACAGTTTCTATCGTGAATGAAACAAGAATCACTCCTTATGATAACAGACAAAAACACTTTCTATCGTGAATGAAACAAGAATCACTCCTTATGATAACAGACAAAAACAGTTTCTATCGTGAATGAAACAAGAATCACTCCTTAGGATAACAGACAAAAACAGTTTCTATCGTGAATGAAACAAGAATCACTCCTTATGATAACAGACAAAAACAGTTTCTATCGTGAATGAAACAAGAATCAACTAAATTGCCAGTCTGCATGCGACATAAACTTGAAAAGTAAAGGAAAACATTCAAAAGAAAATATAGTTACGTGCCATAGTCAGCAGAACTAAAATACGGTCGAAATTCTTTTGAATGAAATTCCATATGAGTTTCCACCTCTTTCCACTACCATGGATCTAGCTTTAAGAATCGATTGAAACAATACGTTGGATATTCTTATTGCGAGATAAAAATTACAAATTCGCTTATAAGGAAGTGTCCTTCTTTCGAGAGTATGTGTAGTTTCCCTGAACGTGTGGGTTTCAGGTTAGTAGATGTCAGAAATCTGTTATTCTGAAGAAACACCAGAAAATTCACAGAATGAAAATTATGGGCGAGTCATAATATTTAATATTATTTGATGACTGACGTTGACACGCATACATTGTGGACATCACCTAACCTTTATAAAGCTTACATCTGACTGTATCCTTCGTGACGACTTACTGAATTCCAGCAGTTGTTAGTGACTTTCCAAACACAAAGTAAGACGAAAAACTATTTGTCCTCCTTAAGCTTAAATTGATAACCCTGAAGTTAGAAAATGATTATTTAATATTCTTGGGTGGCGGATGTGGGGCTTGGATTATATGAATTTAGATGGGAGCATACTCATAGGAATCATTCCGTTAAAACAGTCATACTTGCTCATAATCTTACGGCCATTACAGTATTTAATGGTAACCCCGATAGACATACACATGTTTGGAAGTGTGTCCACTCGTTTAGCATTTATTGGTCATGTCCAGTACATGTACGTCTATAATCTTTTGTTGAGTTAAACCCTGATATCACTTCCATGCGGTGCGTCGATGAAGTTTGAGTCAACAAATTACCTCATTTATTCACTGACATGGTTGCTGCGCGCTAAAGAGCAATGGTTGTCTATATAACGCAGTAAGTGCCATATTTCCGAACCACTGAAATACATTTCTGTAAATATAGTAATAATCCATTTACCATGACAGCTCGTTAAAGAGAGTGTGAAATATAGGATACATCTTAACCTTATCATACACGATTTCTAGAGTATTTAAAACTGTGTTATCAATGAACATTATCTACAATTATTTATGAAAACGCATATTTATACACCTCTGTCGTATCATTTTCATATTCTCTGAAATGCATTTTAATTTCATGACCCGCGTAATAAAAGCAAATTTAGCGGCCATATAATTCTTTACTTTAGCTTGAAAACGGCGTAAGAATCTACTGCGAAACTTCGTCTATGCAAGTAAACAAGAAGTAGTTATTCATAAAGCCGTGTGCTCACCAACTTCTTTGATTGGTTAAATTTGGGAAATACTGTTCCTTCATGAGCCCTTACGATGGAGAGTCGCCATGGTGATCTGTACATGGCTGTCTCCTCCCACGTGCCAAGGTCCATTCCAAACGCTTTTATGGAAACCGCTAGGGAGTCCTTGAAGCATTATATCTTACCACATGGGACCGCACACCTTCTTGTAGCTCGCCATTGAATGATCTCATGGGCAACCGCTGTCCTGGCATACGAGCTGAGTGTCCGTCCTGCATTAAGATGGGTGCTGGAGAGGTCAGTTTTGGTGAGAACATCAGTCTGTGGAATCATGTCCTGCCCGTTTGTGACTGAGTCTCTTGGCATGACGTTGTTCAACTGTCCATGTTTCACACGCATACAGGTGTGATGACGGGACAACAGGTTTGTGAACCTAACAGCAAGGTCAAACTCCCAGAATGAACGCCTGAGCAAGTGAAGCCTTTTGCAGGCAACGCGCCAGCGTTTGGAGTAGAAGAGACAACGATAGGAGTTAGGGGGGAACAGCACAGGAACATAATACTTTGGCAGAAGGACCAGAACAACAAAGATGTCAGGCAGAACAGTAAACCTTAGGTCCAAACAGCATATACCATCAGTAAAGCAAGCTTGAACAGATACAAATACGCCACGGATGGATCTAGAAGAATAAGAATAGTAATTGTATACGAATGTAATTCTCAGGTTTGGCAACAAGGACAATAGACGTTATTTAGTAGGTAATGTGATACTATTTCTTACGCACTATTGACGTATATTCCTAATCTATGATGTCTAGATTGGATGTGAGATGTGTGCCTAAGTTTAGACATGAGTGAGTGGGTGAGTGAGTTTTTACGCCGCTTTTAGCAATATTCCAGTAATATCTCGGTTGGCACCAGAAACTGGCTTCACACATTGTACTCATGGGGGTAATACAACATTCTTTTCGGCGCTATAAGCACAAGGCCACCCCACTGCCCCAGAACTGATGTCGAGGACGATGGAGTTGGGTTTAACGCGCCTTTAAACAATATATCTTAGCGCTATCAAGATATGTAAATTTAAAATGAGAGAAATATGGTGTATATCTTAGACATTTGCTGATCTGCATTTAAATTGCCTCAAAATTCAAAAAGTTGTGGGTTAATCTCAGTTTTCCCATGACGGCAAGGGCACTTTGAAGAAGGTACACTCAGGGAATTGTACTTCCACAAGGAGAAACTAGGCCAGCTATCTCTGAACATCCCACAAAGGGGTCACAGGTAGTGACAACCAAATAAAATTCACTCCAATTAAAAATGAAATACACTATTACCTTACACGCGTTGAGAACTCGTGGAACAAGCATGTGCACTCCGTCGAGCTTAAGGTGAACATTTAGATGCGAATGTTGCCTAAATGATCATCCCCTGACCTGGGCTCGCCAGACCATAAACACAGGGTCGACCCGTCTCAGTGTCAGGCTGCTCGGGTTGGTTGAGGGCCTACCACTTGTGTCGCGCCGGCAGTAGAACAGTAGTGAATTTAGATACGCTTTTTATGCTACGGGAACCCCCAAGTTGACATGACTGGGTAAATGTTCACTATTATCGAAGTAATTGTAGATTGCGGATATTTTCGCTTCAGTTTTTGCCCTCGACGAGTCATTCAAAGGCGTAATTTATGCTTCAGATGACAATAAAAGGCAGAGTGAGTGAGTGAGTTTAGTTTTAGGCCGCACTCAGCAATATTCCAGCTATATGGCGGCGGTCTGTAAATAATCGAGCCTGGACCAGACAATCCAGTGATCAACAGCATGAGCATTAATCTGCGCAATTGGGAACCGGTGACATGTGTCAACCAAGTCAGCGAGCCTGACCACCGATCCCGTTAGACGTCTCTTACGACACGCATGGGTTACTGAAGATCAATATTCTAACCCGGACCTACACGGGTAATAAAGACAGAACAGACATAGTATATTGTCATTGCAGGACATTTCATGTAAGTCAGCTTACTGACAGATTAACTACTTGCTAATTATATAAGACAAACGGCCCCCGCGACGATATGTAGTTGGTATTAAAGTGGCTAATAAGCTAAATTGCAACAAAGTATAGGTAATAGAGACGAAAACAAACATGTTCAGGAAACACCTGTTGTGTATATATTGCTGTTTGTACCATTCTACCGTTCGATCTCCAGTAGGACCCGATAAATAAATACCGCAGTGAAGAACACAACATGAGTCCCACTGAGTGCTTTCTACGGTGTCTTCTCGGCAGCGCAACATTTCAAGATACGGGTATTCTCGCCAGAGCGGTAGGCCTTTCATAATGTGAATGATGGAACACCTGATTAACGTCCACGCAAAAGTTTTTACAACGCACAATCACTGGATTTTGTCCACTGAACGGTAATCGTAGCAATTGCGAAAATCACAAACCCTGATGAGGACCTATCAACAGGTTCACACGCATTTAGATCACACGCATTTAGATCACATGCATTTAGATCACACGCATTTAGATCACACGCATTTAGATCACACGCATTTAGATCACACACATTGCAGATGTATCTTGTTATCCTTCTATTTTTATTGTGGGTATAATATTATCAAAGTGAGGATAAGACATATGAGCAACGTCTTTATTTACAATGAGGAGCGGCGTTACTGTGTATATTCTTAAACCGTTAACGATTGAAAAAATGCATGTAATAAATTGCAGAAATGCACTTTGACAACGATATAACCTGGAACTATATGTGCAGTGCTTGGACCTGCTAAGGTCAAAACCTAGCCAAACTAGTGAATTTATTTCTCAAATAATTTAATAAATCACAGTATTTTGTTTCATTGCTTTGGTGGAAATGTAGCAGTTGTAAAATAGTTGTCCAGTGGCAATATTATGCAGTCGGATTGTCTCTCCCAATGTTTCTTTGACATGGGTGAACTTGACCTACTTCCGTATGTCTTTAGTTAGATTGCTGCTATCAGTGCCAGAAATTACATGAACACTGAGGGCAATCTGACACGATCGGTAATTTTGTTAATCATTAACATTAATTTAATCTTACGTTGACTATTTACAAATGTACACTAATAACCTCAGATCAAACATGGGGAGAATACAGATCCCTCAAGTAAAACTGTTACATAGCAATATATTGTGGTTGTTCCTTTTCCTCAGTATTGTTTCGATCGTGACATGCTCTTTCCTTTTGTGGAAATTCCAGCATTACCAACACGGCCCATCCAGGAGCAGGTCAACAAATTAGTTTAGTTAGAGTCCGTTTTTAACGAAAGATCGCCAGGACAGGATGCTAAACATAAAAATCATTTTCCAATGTTGGCACTTTGACAAGCGACTCTAAAGGTTGTTTGAAATGGAATATAAATATAGATGTTTTTATTACCTCTTTAGCAATTGTTCAAGTTATTTAATTAATTATTGTATCCTTAAAGGGAGCAGTGTGTTGAAAATGAGAGTGTTGGGAGTGTGAAAACTTTCATTTAAATGTAGATTCTCGGGATGGTGGTGTGACGATCTTGCAGAACACCTTACCCTGTATTGAGCGAGATCATATAAAAGTCTGAGTGGGAAATATTTGTGCAACAGTTCTATTAAGTCTTTAAATTCCGCATTAGACCTTGAAATTGACTTCTGCTATAAAAAATGTATATTCCAGACTCAACTACAGAAGTCTTGTCTTGAACTAATTCATCATGGCCGTGAACATCCCCGGACTCATCTCCGTCATCGTGTTCTACATCCTCATCCTCGTCATCGGCATCATCGCCGCCAGGAAGAGCAGAAACAGTAACGCCGAAGACTCATTCGTGGCCAACAGGAGCATCGGGCTGTGGCTGTCGTTCTTTACAATTACTGGTAAGTGCAGACACTATAGTTGGTACAACTGCGAGTAGGTGCTACCATTTCACTGACGATCCATCCTTAGTAGAGCTACAGCCCTAACAGTTACTGCGCTAACAGCTACAAGGAGGGGCTACTGGTACCCTGGCAGATGAAAGTTACATGCATGTACCTCACATCTCAGACATAAATATTCCAAAGTGACCACCGATGTGGTATTCTTGGAGATGGGGTGTAATTATTTTCAAAACGATAAGATTTTCCCGAAAGGACTGTAACACTGATTATTGCAATTGTGTCAGGTTTCTACAACAGCAACCCCTTGTTCGCGTAGCATTTTTGGAAGTTCTGAAACAAAACTGTGCAATCATTCGGTTCTGCACTTCAGAAAATATATTGCATTTTTTGTGTGAGGGCAAGATTCAGATTCAGTATTTCATGCAGCCTTACATTTCACAGATGGATGTTGAAAACGAAGTAGTTCGCAAGTCATTGATCTGATCGTAATTCATGTGATATACAATTATCTACCATATTTTTCAAGGTATATTTTATCTGTCTTATAAACGACTGATAATGATTTACCTTCGTGTGACATCTTATCGGTAGGAGATCGGATTCACATCGGCTGCTTACATTGACATCGAAACAATTCGACACTATGCAGTAATTCACAACGCTATTTCCTTGATTACCGATAAATGGCTAATTGACTTTTTTATCGTGATGTGTTCACCCATTTGGTACATGTAAATTCTGGCATTTACATATGTCAGATGATTGTTGACCTTGTGTGTTGCTCTTATATGCCTGAATTTAAAGGAAGATTATCGGAAGTATCAAACTGGATTATGCACTGGTCGCTACTCAATCGTGCATTAGTATTAGTTTGCATACTCGCTACACAGCGACGTAGGTTGATCAAGTGACACCTCAGAGCAGCATGTTCGTGTTTTGCATGGCGAGGACAGGTTTGGGAGGAAGGGCGTACATGGTAGTCAGTTCACAAGACGTGTATTTAATAGATGGTATAATGGCATATGCTGTGTCTGGGAAACATTTAAATCACAACTTACGCCCGAAAGGTACATGTGTAGTCTCAGGACCGTTGCGTAGAACCATGGCTAAATTCAGGTGTATATAGACATTCAACAATCTCAGAACTAGAAATTACAACTTGTTATTAACGTAATGATTCTGTTGACAATGAATACCATGACTACAGATCTCCCCGCGCTATACTGAACTGAGATATAAACATGTACCTGTCTACCATAATGAACTGAGATATAAACATGTACCTGTCTACCATAATGAACTGAGATATAAACATGTACCTGTCTACCATAATGAACTGAAATATAAACATGTACCTGTCTACCATAATGAACTGAAATATAAACATGTACCTGTCTACCATAATGAGCTGAGATATAAACATGTACCTGTCTACCCATAATGAACTGAGATATAAACATGTACCTGTCTACCATAATGAACTGAGATATAAACATGTACCTGTCTACCATACTGAACTGAGATATAAACATGTACCTGTCTACCATAATGAGCTGAGATATAAACATGTACCTGTCTACCATAATGAACTGAGATATAAACATGTACCTGTCTACCACAATGAACTGAGATATAAACATGTACCTGTCTACCATAATGAACTGAGATATAAACATGTACCTGTCTACCATAATGAACTGAGATATAAACATGTACCTGTCTACCATAATGAACTGAGATATAAACATGTACCTGTCTACCATAATGAAAACCATGCTCATCAGAAATGTGTCAACCTTATAGCATCTGACAATGTTGATATTCTTTATAAAGTTGCTGTGTTCATGTATAGATATTCAGTGTAACCCTCTGACCTGGCTCCCGATCCACAGTAGTGCTACGAGATTCGTAAGCCTATGGTAAACTATAGAGTTAAGACAGGTCGTAACGTTACGAACGCTTTATGGATCGGGACCCTGGTGTCATTATGTACGTCTTATGAGGTGGTACACAAACAACATACATGCTGTATATGTAATTTAAACATCTTACAGTATTGGTCTTTTGGCCACTTATACGTAATAGACGATATAAATTGATGAATCTTCACAATTCTACAGCGACCAACATCGGAGGAGGCTACATTAACGGCACAGCGGAAGCTATAGCATACAGCGGCCTCATTTGGACCAATGCTCCCATTTTATACTGCATTTCTATCATCATCGGTAAGTAGACTTCATCAACAATACTCAGTGAAAATATACAGATATGTCATTCAAAAGTCGCATTATTCGTAGCGCTTTGAAGTCAAATAGTGGTTGCAAAACCGGTGATTGATACTACGAGCGTCCGGCGCTGTACTGTGGTAGATTATTTTACTCCAGAAACTCCCCATGATTATATAGTGGGGTCAGACACCAAGCATTACACACTGGGAAGCTATGCTTCCCAGGAAGTAGTTCAGGCAGTAATTATGGATTCAACTTACAGAACGACCTTAACAGTATTGGTCCAGTTCAATGTCTAACCTCTACATGTCCTTGATACCATATAGCTGGAATATTGCTGAGTGTGGCGTTAAACAAACAAACAAACCTTAATACCATATTGCTGGAATATTGCTGAGTGCGGCATTAAACAAACAAACCTTAACACCATATTGCTGGAATATTGCTGAGTGTGGTGTTAAACAAACAAACAGACCTTAATACCATATAGCTGGAATATTGCTGAGTGTGGTGTTAAACAAACAAACAAACCTTAATACCATATTGCTGGAATATTTCTGAGTGTGGCGTTAAACAAACAAACAGACCTTAATACCATATTGCTGGAATATTGCTGAGTGCGGCATTAAACAAACAAACCTTAACACCATATTGCTGGAATATTGCTGAGTGTGGTGTTAAACAAACAAACAGACCTTAATACCATATACATGGAATATTGCTGAGTGTGGTGTTAAACAAACAAACAAACCTTAATACCATATTGCTGGAATATTGCTGAGTGCGGCATTAAACAAACAAACAGACCTTAATACCATATGGCTGGAATATTGCTGAGTGCGGCATTAAACAACATACAAACTTTAATACCATTTTGCTGGAATACTGCTAAGTGCGGCATTAAACAAACAAACCTTAACACCATATTGCTGGAATATTGCTGAGTGTGGTGTTAAACAAACAAACAGACCTTAATACCATATTGCTGGAATATTGCTGAGTGTGGCGTTAAACAAACAAACAGACCTTAATACCATATTGCTGGAATATTGCTGAGTGCGGCATTAAACAAACAAACCTTAACACCATATTGCTGGAATATTGCTGAGTGTGGTGTTAAACAAACAAACAGACCTTAATACCATATACATGGAATATTGCTGAGTGTGGTGTTAAACAAACAAACAAACCTTAATACCATATTGCTGGAATATTGCTGAGTGCGGCATTAAACAAACAAACAGACCTTAATACCATATGGCTGGAATATTGCTGAGTGCGGCATTAAACAACATACAAACTTTAATACCATATTGCTGGAATACTGCTAAGTGCGGCATTAAACAAACAAACCTTAACACCATATTGCTGGAATATTGCTGAGTGTGGTGTTAAACAAACAAACAGACCTTAATACCATATTGCTGGAATATTGCTGAGTGTGGTGTTAAACAAACAAACAAACCTTAATACCATATTGCTGGAATATTGCTGAGTGTGGTGTTAAACAAACAAACAAACCTTAATACCATATTGCTGGAATATTGCTGAGTGCGGCATTAAACAAACAAACAGACCTTAATACCATATGGCTGGAATATTGCTGAGTGCGGCATTAAACAACATACAAACTTTAATACCATATTGCTGGAATACTGCTAAGTGCGGCATTAAACAAACAAACCTTAACACCATATTGCTGGAATATTGCTGAGTGTGGTGTTAAACAAACAAACAGACCTTAATACCATATATCTGGAATATTGCTGAGTTGGGTGTTAAACAAACAAACAAACCTTAATACCATATTGCTGGAATATTGCTGAGTGTGGTGTTAAACAAACAAACAAACCTTAATACCATATTGCTGGAATACTGCTAAGTGCGGGATTTAACAACATACAAACTTTAATACCCGAACTTTACCTATCCATTTCCTTATGGTTTCAACTGATATTTACTAGTCTCGAATGTTTCTTTTTATAGCAGTCATATGTGTATGGCCTTAGAATTAGACAGGCCGACATGCAACTTTATCATGGACTATTCCCAACCAATTTGCATATACAGCCGTATCAAATATATGCAAGTGGCAGTATAAATATTACTGTTTCTTCAAAAGCAATAGAGTTTGAAGCATGCATAGACCTTTCATCATTTTAATTGGTATGGCCATATGGTATGGTATTGCTACTATTTTATAAAAATCAACTGGATCGAAATACATTTTCAGCTGCAGTTTTCTACGCACCGACGATGAGAAGAGGAGGATATATCACCATGTTTGACCCCATCCAGAATAAGCTGGGAGCTCGAGCCGGAAGTCTGCTTTTCTTCCCTCAGCTGATGGGAGATATCTTCTGGACAGCAGCCATCTTGTCAGCCCTGGGTAACACGTGTATAAATTTCAAAAACTATAATTACCAATATTTTCGATTTACCATTTGCCAATGCCCTCAAGATCTGTGAGGGTATTTCAAACAAAGTAGGGGGCTACCTTAGGACGGGGCATGTTTACCGCTTTCACAGACACCAAGTGTCGTCAATGATCTTCAGTGCTACATTCATACAGGTCTGGTAGTATATGTAATAGAGGTCACTCCCCATTATTAAGCCCTTTCATCCTAATCTTGCTCCCACAGCCCCCGCTAGCACTATTAGAATTAGGATGAAAGAACTTAATAATGGGGAGTGGTCCCGTATCCCTATTACCTATTCTAATGGTCTCATCGCTATGCCTTTAACGACCATCTGATTGTTTCAACAGAGCAGGGCACTGTTATTCACCACCGTCAACGTTTCACATTTACATATATTGGTAATCCTCTCAAGCACGATTTTGATGCCAACAACGTTAAACTCGTAACCTATCTGAGATATCAACTCTTTCGATGCTATACAAACTGAAGTATCATATGTGTAAAATACGAGGGGCTATCAGACAGATTTGAGCCTAAAATGGATTGGCTTGAGTACAGAGCAGTGATGTGTTTGGACTTCGATGGCCTCCCGGCAAAGCACATTAAAGAGCGATTGGCAGCAGTACGACTACACTATGGGTGTATAAGCGTTTGATATGATCACTTTCTTCATCTGAGACATCCTGGCAGTCATGAAACTATGTACAGTTTACTTTAACTTATTTCTTGCGTTACAGGGTCCACCATGTCCCTCATCCTGGACCTGGACCCTGTTCTATCCATCATCGTGTCCAGCTGTGTGGCCGTGTTCTACACCTTTATAGGTGGGCTGTACTCTGTGGCCTACACTGATGTCATCCAGCTCATCTGTCTCTCCGTGGGACTGGTAAGGATATTACATGCAGACCAACATGGGTCTGGTATGGTCAAGAAACATTTATGGCATAGGAATTTGACTTTTCTGTAGTAGTAGTAGTAGTTTATTTCGGTAAATCAGGCCAGAGGCCCATTTGTATAGTGATGGACGTCATAACAGTGAGCAGACAGCTAATATACTTAATATAACTCCTGGCTACCCAATAAGGCTCATATCCCCATGAGATGACAATGTATAAACCATTACAATGTGCCACGATACGCGATCGGTATTCGGTTCATGACGTATATGTCACTGCAAAGTGAACACACACTTTTCCTGACCTGGACTTCGATCCTTCTTTAAGATTTACTGTCATTCCTTTGTTCATTAAAACACCCATATGCAAAGGTTTATCAGTAGCATATGACGTATCTAGTTATGAAAACACAACCAGCTGCCACCAATATAATTATTCATATGGTTTTAATCACTTGCTGTCACTTGATTGTTTAACAATAGTTTCACTGCTCGCACTATAGGGTGTTGTATATTTTTCAGATTGTGTCATGTCCGTTTGCCTTCTTCCACCCATCTGTTGATCTGGCAAGTGTGCAGGACACGTGGGTTGGTGAGCTGCCCACAAACATGATTGGTTTATATGCAGATCTCTGTTGTCAGCTCATCTTTGGCGGCCTATCTTGGCAGGTAACAAACTATTTATTTTGTTGCACCCTTCAATATGAATACGATGTGAAACTTTGACCTTTTCGACTTCATTAGACGCTATACACAGAAAATCATGTGATAATCATCATAATTGTGATACGAAAGGCTTTCAAAATGTTTTGAGCCTAAAATACATCTGATATGTGCATGATGAAAATAACTGTGTGATATTGAAGAATGGTTTATATCATTCACATATATATTGACATGCAAACGTCGCTATTTTCCGGTCACATGGCAACTAATCACATGTATCCCTATTGAAACGGCAGAAATGGATAAGCTTGAGTACAGAGCAGTCATAACGTTTTTGGTCCTCGAGGGCAACCCGGTGAAGCACATTGAAGAGCGATTGACAGCAGTACGAGTGCTGAGTCCATAGAATACTCGTACTGCTGCCAATCGCTCTTCATTCTTTAATATCATACAGTTGATTTTATCATGCACATATCAGAAGTATTTTAGGCTCAAAACATTTTGATAGCCCCTCGTACCATGGGATCCATTTTTTTGTATTTGCTCATCTTGTTAATGTGAACTTTAAATATCTTTTATGCAGGTTTTTTTACCAGAGAGTGTTGGCTTGCAAGACACCCAGTGTTGCTCGGACAAGTTCCATTGTGGCAGCGTTTTGTAGCTTTCTCCTAGCCATACCCCCAGCAGCTATCGGAATAGTCGGGGCAGCCGCAGGTCAGGATGCCAACGATAATTTTACAATAACCTTCAAACGTCGTATCAGAACTGGGCGAAGGAGTCGATAACATGAAATCAATTAAACATGGCTGGTATTGTTCCGTATTGGTATTTATTTTCATCACAGGTATGATTTTATTATTGATTTTGTAGATTGGAATGCCACGTCCTACGAAGGCGAAGTCCCAATACCACAAGAATATCGCAGCTTTATCCTTCCCATGGTGCTCAACTACCTGTGTCCACTTCCGGTGGCAGTGTTGGGACTGGGTGTGGTGGCTGCTGCTGTCATGTCATCTGCCGACTCCTCTGTCCTCTCCAGTGGAACCATCTTTGCTAAGAATATCTACAAAGATGTCATACGTCCACAGGTACTTTGAAAATGCGTATCACAAAATGAAACCTCATGGTCAAGGATTATATAATTTTCAAATATATATTGATATAACAAGAAACGGGTGTGGCTGAAGAATGCTTTTTTCTGTTTTCTAAATGTTAGTTTCAATGTCATTCTTAGGCCAGCGACCGAGAAGTGATGTGGATCTTAAGAGTTGGTATACTGGTGACTGGTGCATTGTCATGCGTCCTAGCCATTATGGTGAAGTCAGTATATGGACTATTCTACATGTGTTCCGACCTCATGTACGTCATCCTCTTCCCCCAACTCACCTGCGTTCTCTGGATCGGGTTCACCAACACCTACGGCTCTCTCACCGGCTACATCCTCAGCCTCTTTCTGAGAGTGGCGGCTGGGGACGCTCTACTGGGAATACCAGCCCTCATTCACTTTCCTTTATACACAGAAGCTGATGGTCAACTGTTCCCTTTCAAGACCCTGGCGATGATAGTCAATTTTGCAGGAATCATATCTGTGTCAGCGTTCACAAGGCTTATATTCCGACGAGGCTGGCTGTCCACCAGATGGGATGTGTTTAATGTGATAAAGAGAGAAGAGGACGCCAAGAGAGCTGAAGAGAGAGGAGAAAGTCTGATGATGAAGGAACGAGATGATGGTAACAGAGACCTGGATTATGCACAAAATGAGAAGATGAAACTTAGGGATAACGACATGCACTGACTAAAATGATAACACTGTTGGTGTCCTCCTGTATAATAAGACTCAATATACACAGAGACTTACTCATTCCTTCGCAAATTATATGTAACCTATAACAACCCACAGACAGAAAGTCGTTTTGGTGTCTGTATTTAACTTGATGGGGACGTCTGCATTTGGATTATCCATGTCCCCTGATGTGTACCCATGTGTATTGGGCCACTCCAGTGATATTGAAGCAGTGGATTTGTTTACGTTCATTGTCTATACCAAATATTTCAATTATTTTTTCATATACAAACCATATAATTTGTGACACCAAAGTTCACTGACTAACTGGAGTGTTTCAGTGTTGTTACTGCGTTCAGGCGTCAGTCAGCCCCACTACAGTTACCTACTAAGTATGAACGTTCCACACTGTCAGGGGAGATGTAAGCTCAGGCTCTCCCCTCGCTTGGTCAGTAACGGCGTTCGCCAGTAACAGCAAGTGTGTAACCAGATGATCGATGCGGCATGGACCACAGCAGGGGTGGAACTTCTCCCATCCAAATGGGTCGGCCATTGATCTACAACACTTGAAAAAAGTGTTAAGCCACGACCAACGTAATTAGTGGGACAATATGCATTTGACACGATACTAATATATTTTGAAATATGACATGCTCAAATAAACTTCAACATGTGTACAAATCACAGTTGACAATACCAGCATTCTTGATTGATGCCTCCATGCAGAATGACAACTAGAGTGAAATATGTAGAATGACAGTTTTCTGGTACCTGTGCAATAGGGCATCAAGAAGTACGAATGAAATCAATAAGTACGAATGACGTATAAACCATAGACCGTTTCTGTAATCATGTAATAGTATATGAACTTACAACAGTCAAATGCTTTGCAGTTTAAAACACTAAAACGAACAACATAGATAAATATTCAAGGACTGAGAGTATACATTGAAACACGGATAAGAATCTATCAGAGCAACTAATATTGAAATCAACAGTAGATTTATGTAATACACGTAACTTCCAACTATCCACAATGTATGAGAAATCAATTCCAGATACAAGTATTGTCTCTATGGAAAAGTTATACAATGTTGTCGTAAGAATGAGTGGGGGAAACATGATGATATTTAATGTTAAAACATTTAACAACTTAAATAGTACTACATCTTTATAACATGCATTTTTTATCGGATACTATAACTTTTCAAATTCTGAACCGTTACATAGTTGCAAATGTTCAAAGTTACCTACTACTTATGGCCGTGCCACATTGCCAAGCTTTCCACTCGCTTGGTCCGTCGAAGGATACTAAATCTAGGAGTGAGGGGTCTGACGACAATGACTCCTTACTAACCACATTACATTCATGTACTGGCACACATACATTCAAAGATAAACGCAACACCAGGTTCTGTACTTACATAGATGTACGTTAACTCAGTCTATCTCTCTAACTACAACACCAGACGGGGTAGGCCTGTACCACAACGGGAACTGAGTGGCGTGGACTGGCTTCCGTCAACTGAAAAGCACGCACTATTCTACTAGTGTTAAGAGGGGTTTTCTTTAAATGGTTTGAGTCTGGTATGATCTTGATCACATGTTCGAACATATCGTTTTGATCCGTTAAAACTGTATCTGACCCTGAACTCGCGATTGGGAAAATACCGGGCAGCTCTGATCTGTGACTTACCTCCTTTCACTGATTTGGTGATTGTTTTAATGTAAGCTTGATCTGTTTGATCTTTTACGACGAATATGTTCTGTCTTTACTTCTCGTAGCCTACGGCCAAAACATAACTCTCAATTAATTTCCTTGTAACTGGCGGCATTCTGTGCCCATTGCTTTCTTAACCATGGGAATCACCGCAAATCTAAATAAGGAATCTAATGTAAGTTTCTAATGGTTTAGGGGTGCATTTTTACCTTATAACAGTATCATATACACCTGTAATCGGTTCTCAATAGAATAATATTTGCCTTTGCGTATTTAACTACAAATAATACAATATACATTTTGTTGCATTTAGCTATAATTACATACCTGATAGCTCTTCGTGGCAAACAGTACAAACCGATGTAGAGTCCTCTTATCGTAACGGTGCTCAAAGACTCGACATCTTCTAATCCCCATCTTTACGATGGATATGGCTGTTTCTGTTTCTATGTCTGTTATTCCTGGTGTCGTCAACCAAACGGATGCTGCTACAGCCCCAGTGTGGTATTGAGTTCTTATTTTAACCCTATACACCAGATTCTGACTATCTGTCCCGTTGACTATGAGATGGTGCCTTTGACAATGTCAAACACGACCAGTGTGCTCAATTGTTAGTTTCATGTTATTGGATGGCCAAACACTATCTAGTTATAAGCACATGTATATTGTCACCTCGACTCGTAGATTGTAATGATCCTAATTACGAATGCATTGTGTTGGAATGTGTTAAAACAGCTGCGGCAATGCACCTTCACTACCAACACTTAGTCCATGTATTCGAACACAGTTAACTCAAAGCAGACCTTTGCATTTAATTAGGAAAATGCTTAAGATTCAGATAACCCACCCAGTGTGCTGGACCATATCGTTAAGTTGTCAGCATTCCGAGTGTCAACCGAGTGTCTTGTGTGGTAAAATACGATTTCTGTTGTATGTCAGCCATAACTGGTATATAAACACGGGTAGCTTACCGACAAGTTTCAAAATAAAAGCGTATATTACCACACATGACACTCCATATTTAGGCGTTAAGTGGTGAGTTTGGTTTTACGCCGCTTTTAGCAATATTCCAGCAACATCACGGCGGGGGACACCAGAAATGGACTTCACACATTGTACCCATGTGGGGATTCGAACCTGGATCTTCGGCGTGACGAGCCAACGCTTTAACCACTAGGCTACCCCACCGCCCCTTTTTCGAATATGGAGGTCCATGACAAAAGATAAGTATGTTATGGTTTCATCTGATTAATACTGACTGCAAATGTATGTACATTTAGGCAAAAGAACTCCAGGACAATGAATCATAAGTTAAAGGTTTGGATATTTTTAACAATAACATCTGTGAGTTATTAGACGCAAAGGCAAGTGTGGCAGAACATCCAGATTTGTCTTTCGCAAGAAATCCGTCATTATTTTATCATTATTTTATTCCAGCAAACAGCGCAAAAACGCACATTTATTGCTTAGTATTTTTTTTTTTTAAAAACAATTAAATTATTTCACTTCAGTGACAATTTTGCCTTATTCGAATTTCTACAGAAATACCATTTCAGCATAATAAAGTTGTGAGGTTTTTGTTTCCAGGAGGGTTGATGGTACAGTACAACCAGAAATTATTGAGAATTTAAAGATTGTAAATACTATATTTTTTCACTCATTACTCACGTTTTAAATGTGAATATTAGCAGAACATAACTCCAAATTCAAAGACAGGTGAACCGTTAGTATTTTGTCAGGTCACCATAGGCAGCAATGCAGGATTCAATGCGGCGGGGCATACTACTGATCAAAGAAGTTAGAAAGTCGTGGTCCATGCTGTCCCAATATCGGACCACTTCTTCTTTCATTTCAGCAATATTTGTCAGATTGTTCTTATTGACACTTTCCAAACATTTTCTATTGGATTTAGGTCAGGGCTATAGCTTGGCCAATCTAATAATGTCATATTTTGGGTCCGAAACCAGGCCTGTGAATGCTTTGAACGATGTTTTGGGTCGTTGTCCTGCTGGAAAATCCAAAAATGTTCATAGAACACGTGAGCTGATGGAAGTAAATGTCCCTCGAGAATATCTGTGTACCGCTCACTGTTCATATTCCCTTCAAATACATAGAGGGGCGTTGCCCCTAACACAGATATACCACCCCACACGTTAAATTTCGAACTGTACTTTGGGCGCTGATACAAAGGTTTTTCAGTTTGTTTGGTCCAGAATTTCAGTGTAAAAGGAAACAGCCACACAGAACTTTCATCTGAGAAAATCACATTGTCCCAGTTAAAGTTTCTATGCTGTAAGCACCAGTTCAACCTTCGCTCCTTTTGTTCAGGCTTCATGATCGGTGATGGAATTCCTCGACTTTTCTGCCAACCCATTGCATGCAGCTCAGCTCTAATTGTCTCCTTATAGACAGCCACAGTTCCTCTATCAATCATAAACAGCCTTAAGTTTTCTAAACTCCTTCGTTTGTCTTTAGAAACAAGAATACCAAGCCGCCTCCTGTCACCGACAGTCATATTTCTGGGCCTACCTGCGCCTCCCTGGTGCTCAATGCCATATCCATTTGCATTATTTTTCAAAACACGATAAACAGTGGACAAAGGGATGCCTGTTCTACTTGAAATAACTTTAGCTGATCTGATGTCCTTGTTATAATACTCTAAAATCAACTTCCTCTTCTCTAAATCATCCATACTCAGGATTAACGGAGTTGTCTTTCTTGAATGAAACCAAGCTGGTCAAGGTTGTTTATACTAGAAATCCAATCAAACATATTCCTAAAATTCTCAATACTTTCTGGTCATACTATAGTACACTAGGTATATGTTGAGAAAATATTTTATTAGAAAATATATTGAAAACACATTAATCGTCTTCGGTTACAGGCTACGTGCCAGGTATACTACAGATGACAAGTTACGATATTGAATTTAGACTTCATAATGAAATATGGTCATGAGCCTTAATCATCCAATAATGCATAAGCCAAGAAAACAAAAATTACACGAATAAATACGGTAACTTTACATAACACATTTTACTCTGATTTCAACAAAAAATACTGAAATTGAAACATGGTAACACATTACTACAAGCTGTGAAGAATACACAAGAACCTGAATATCAACAATACTGGAAAGTATGGTAACCATCACTACCCCACAAAACTGTCGCACAGTCTTTAAACAATGGTTGATCTGATTGTATGAACCACCACAGGCGACCACACCAGTATCATGTGTAGCCATCCCTGGAACTAATAACGTCTGCTAGTCTCCTCCTCATGCTGCCAATCAAGCATCGTATTATTAACATCTGACTTCCGAAACAGTGTATGCCTCAATTTTTCACTTTGAACAGGATAAGGTCCAGCTCGAACTTGACATATAACACTGTCCGAAAGGAGTTCAATGATGTTTGTATCGGGGCTCCTTGTGGACCATGGTAATGTTTCGATAGAATTGTTCCCTGAAAAGGGTGATGACGGCACCAGACGGCCAAGCGTTGTCATCCATGAATATCTGATGATTGGCAAAGTTAACAAAATGAGGCCCTATAACCGTATCCAGTACTTCCTATCGAAATCGTTAACCCTTGTGTATCCACTGTAATGAGATCCTACTTGGAGCGATACGAAACGCAACCCCACACAATCACTGATGGGTTCAACTGCATAGATCATCTCGGGAAGATACGACGTCTCTGTACGTGACAACGGCCGTGGACAACGTGTAGAAGAAAGCGACTTTCATGAGACCAATGAACCCTTCTCTGGGGGTAGATCTTGGAGTTTGCGCCACATCAGACGTTTCTACCTGTTCCTATCTGTGAGGAATGGACGTCTGATCGGACTACGCAATGGTAATGATGGTGAGTCTGAGAGACTCCCATCCACCATTGCAGTTCTTCAGCAGGGTTTATCTTACTGATGTCTTGCCAGACGAATTTACACCCGATCATCATGGTCGCTGGTGTTCCTC